GTGTTATTCCCATTTATTAATGGATGGATCTTTATTGATACTCATTTAAATTATTATTGCTGTAATAACATTAAATACCTGAAACTACAGAATGACTGATGGTGGGTCAAAAACTAATTTGAGTGAACATCTAATGGAATTTTGGATACAATATTAAAAAAAATATTGGAAATAGTACAATTTAATATTTTGAATAAAATGAAATTTCCCTACAGTAATAAAACCATTATAATTAACAGGAATACCTTAGTTCCATGGTGTTCTTAAACTGTGCAGTACTCATTTCCATGACTCCTCTAGTGTCTGTTTCTTTCCTCAAGTAATCCATCTAGAGAGAATAAACATTCCTCAGGTCACTGACACCTATTTCTTCTGATAGACACTTCATATTACAGACACTTATTGTTTGTCCCCTACCTAGTAGACACCTCTAAATTACAAATACCTCTGAACCACAGACATCTCTACATGTATATTACGGACACCTTAGCCTACAGACCACAACTTGCATACACAAGTGTCTACCAGCACTACATCATATGGAAGAACCATCAGAAATAGGCATTTGTGGAAAATTTTGAATCTTAATGGACTAAATACTAACAAAGCTGTAGAGGAATAAAAATACTTTGTCAAGGATTTTGCATGGAATTCTTTGTTAAAGCCTTGGTAGCCTTGTTTTGGTGTTTCTGTGCCTCTTCTTATTACCCTTAACAACTTATTTTTCTGTGAAACTTTCAGAACTTATATTTAGCTTTGATATTTATCATCTGAGTGGGGTGTTTCTTTTTTCTGGTGCAAATCCTTTAGAGACAGGATCCTGTAGGATCTTGTAGGAGCTTAAATACATGTTTAAATTTAAATTTATTAGCTTTGCCCCTAGTAGGGGCAGGGACACCGCAACAGCGTGAGCCAATTACTGCGGACCCTGTACTCTCACACTCACTACCTCTACATTAAGTACATGTAGGATCGATCTTACAGGATCCTGTCTATAGTATGATTTGCACTAATGAAAATGCTACAGCATCAGCCATTATATAACGTTTTCAATATTAGAAACCTCATTTTATATAATGGACACCTCAGCAGCCATTCAGCAATTACAGGAACAAATCTCTATTAAGTCATCAACCTAGTACCCATGCTTTGCTCATATCACGACTATTGTGATCCACTGGGTACTAGTCTACCATTTTATCATGATTTCAACTTACAGCAGACTGTGAGTCATTTTCAATTTTTTTCATCCTCTGCCGTAACTCCTGCACCATTGTCCCAAACTGTACTGTCTGCACTTCAAGCTTACTCTTTGTATTCCGTACATCGTCATTCATGACCCGCATATTCTTTTGCACTTGCTCATAAGTATCTTGCAAATCCTCCAAATCTTCTTTTAATCTTTCTAGTCTAACATGAACCTGTTCCCTTCGGCTCAACAATTGTTGTTGATTRCCCATTARTGTTTGTTCAACATGTTTTGTGTGGTTGACTAACGACCCTACAGCTGTATGCTCWGAATCCAGTCTTTCCTCCGTTCTTGCTAACCGCATCATTAGCTGAGTATAAAGCGTATTTGCTGCTCGTATTTTCTCTGATAGTARATGTCTTTGTTCCTTTTCATCACGYAAAGTGTCTTCRTTACGTCGTACACTTGTTTTGAGTTCTCCTTGTAGTCTCACRATCTCTTCTAACAGTGCTCTGTTTGATTGTTCACTCAAACTTATCCTGCCTTCGAGTTTYTTTAGTCTTGTGCCATCACCAGATCCTGGTGGAGTTGGATTCTTTGTTCCTCTGTCCATTATGTCTGGCAATGCTGGTATGTTTGATGGAGGATTGTTTGACCTAAAAACGAATATGATTAATGATATCATATATATCATTGAAAGATCAAGATCTAAAGTGTTTTTTTTGTTCAGAATTTTTGTTCAGCAAAATGGGGATCAGCCAGCACCCTTGCCACTTAATAATCTGCCCTAATTTTGAATGGATTTTATCTGCTGGGTAATGATTTATCTGGTGTGGAAAGTGCTGTTCAACCATCACATGCCACCCCAGCAGGCCCCTGGACTGGACTTTTAAGTTCTAGAGGTGAAAACATTAAAAATCATGACCTTTTTTCTGCATTATTTAGTTCTTTCTTTCTTTTCTTTTCTTTCTTTTATTCTTTTTGATATTCTTTTTTTTCTTTTCTCTTTTCCTTTTTATATATATTTATGATTTTCCTTTTTATATATATTTATGAATTTTGAATTATATTTTCATTGCTAACATTAATTGCTGTCGACATTTCACTGCTGGACAGGTATTCCCTGATATTTAATTCATATGTGAGGCTATCTGTTGATATAGTTTATTGAAACAGCCTTGGCTCTCTAATTCAATTTAGCTGTTACCAATGAAGAATTATACTCAAGTGAGACTCGCTCTGTCTGTGAGTGAGTTGTAGTTAAATTTGCATCATAAAACATCGAACCATTGACTAAACTCTTGAAAATATTCAACCCCAAGTAATTCGCGTGCAAACTAAATTAACATAGGGGTTTAGAGAGCTGTCAAAAATAGCAAAGATTATAAATTTTTAATCAAACATGACGAGAAATTAAGCTTAATTTCACACATACTTATCCTGCTCAAACTCAAAATAACTTTCTGGTTTTTGAGTAAAAATATCCAGATGTGTATTAAAAGTTGTTAGTTTAATTTAACAGATATTTTAGTTAAGAAAAGCGCCCGGAATATTCAAATTTCTACAAAGTTCACGAAAGCTCCATGGAGACGGATTGAAACAAAACTTACGAGAACCACAGGAAGCGAGCMAAAACAGCTTACCTTAGCTCCATTAGTGATTAGAATCCATGTATTTCATGACAGCATTTAGTTTTGAGTAGAACAATTGATTCTTTTGAGGTAAAATTAGCCAATTTAAGAGTCAAAACAGAAGTTTGTTTTCCAATATGCGTAAACCGAAGTGCCCGCCATTTTGTTTGGTGAAGAACAAATTTGATTGGTCGAGAGTGTAGAAGTGATCTCTCTGATCAATGGTAGAGTTGGCTGGGAGGAATAGTTGCGAAAAAAAGCATATGAAAAAAAAACCACTAACTATTGTTTTTTATTATCCATGCAAAAAGTAACAAAATTTTTTTAAAACGTTTGATTATCTTTTTATAGTATCAATTTGATTTTGGTTTTAGCTCTACTGAAATCGGTGGTAAAAACACTTAAATCTATCTACTCCCAACATTGAACTTCGTGAAGGTGATTCATGGCGATCATAACTTCGGAAGGACCTTCTAAAGTACTTTAAATGTTTGGAAATATGATTTATGACTACTATTCGAAAAAAATCTGTTCGGTTTTTCGTTCTATGTASTTTGATTTGAAAACTTTGCAAAGATTTCGTGAAGAATGATAAAGAAAGGGAGAATCACTCGCGGCGCAATAAGCTTCATCGGTAACTTTTAGCAACCTTTTAATTTCAAAAACCATATTATATATTTACATAGAAAGGTTCGCGTTTTCAAGCAGTTGACATTTTTTGAGTCATTTTAAATTCTCCAAAGTCAAAATTAGCTTAAATTGTTTAACTTAAAAAGTGGAAATGCTAGTTAATGTAAACTCATGAACAACGAAGTGAGTAATCAAAGTCGACCAGGTTTGCTTCTTCATGGGCGCCATAGCGACATTATAATTATCTAGTTCCCGTGTTTTTACATTTCAAAATTAAAAAAATCTGGAGTTTCAGTGTAGAAGCATGTATTTCTTTTAGTATATATAGTTTTTTTTTTCTGTTTTTAAAAGCTGCCCTTGGACATGTAAATCCTTCAATCAGTCCGTAAATTACATCCGAACTGGAACGAGTCAATAAAAACAATATCGCTAAATGTCAACAAACAGATAGATAGATAAGCAAAAGCAAAATTTAATTAAGTCAATACAATCAGTTTTATGGACTAAAAGTGAAAAATTAAACAGAATTACAATTGTGGTTAAAGACTTCTGTGCTGGACAGCAATTCAGTTTTCCAATTTTGCCTTGACGTCATTGCGTATAAAGCGCACATCTGAAAATCATGCAAGTTACCGACTGGCAGAACTGTTGGACGTCTAGAAAAGCATATTTAAATTGCCTACTCGTTGCTAATGTACACAACAAGACAACGAGAGAGAGCCATACTTCCAGGTGGCTAGTCATGCACATAAGATGTCATTTTTCGTTAACCTTAAAAATTCATTTTTATATTGATTAATATCAAAGCTTTTTTGAATACTATAGAAGCAGATTAAATACTTTTAGTAACTAGGAAACAGTACTTTGAGAAAATTTGTCGCTAATCTTTCATTTTTGTTTCTATAGTTACTGGGATATTGAGCGAATGAATAACAATGGAAACTTTATCTTAATTCAACTTGATAGAATCTCTCCGCTGGACAAATATTGCAGTGTACTTATTCAAAAAGAAATCTGGTTGATAAGCTTGGCTAGTGTTAAATCTGTAAGAATAAATTACTTTCCATTGACGAATCGAAGCATACAATCTTTTCCGCTTTCTGTACATTCAACAAAAGTATGTCACCGATATATCACGGTAAAATACGAAAGCAGCAGGAAATTTTGCTTATGCACTATCATTTCATAACTATGATCCATAATCCTAAGGCATACAAAATAATTTGCCAGAGTTTGGCGACATAAGTAATTTTGAGTTAAATTTTAGCCTAAGCCTACACCAACGGGAGAAACTCAAATAAAATGACCAACGTTTTTGAGTGACTTTGCGTGCGTAAAAATAAATAAATAAAACAATTCTTCTGAATCTCGCCAGAACTGACGAATTCGAAATTTAAATCTATGTACATTTAATTTAAGAATGTGCGATATTTTATAATAGGCATGTTGCTATGAAGAAAGCAATAACTTGACAATTTGTTCTACTATCTAGGAATTCCTCTTTTTAATGGTTCTAGAAAACTTCCGTTACTTCTTGTGTCTGAAGATACTTCGACATACGGAATATATTTTATTACAAAGTGAATACTAGAAGCAATTTCTGCAAAATTTATCTGCTATTAATACAAAATCTTATCCTCGCACTAACTAAATCATGGCGGCGAAAATATTTTATCATATTATAAATGTATAACAATCTTACAAAACAATTTCAAAAAAATGAAGCGTACCTTYTCTTGCTTGAAGTTGAAATGGTCGGTTCTTTGGCCCAAGGAGGCTGTGCCATCGGACGGGGATTGCTTAATTCAAAACGTCGAAATCGTTCAGCGAAAGCTGCATCGCGCTGGACRGGATTAACCATCGGCGATGACGGCCGTCCTCTTCGCAATTATTCTCTGAGAAGTCACCCGTAGGATTCCCGATCCTAGTGTATATATTATATCCCTCAATTATAGCCCAGTATTCTTCGGGTGTTTATCAAACGCTTATGTAAATTGGAGCGCAGGTGGCTGTTCCACGTTGTGTAAGATGGTGTAGCGAGTTTTACACTAAAACTATCAATCAYGATCACCCTAACAACAMATGACATGAAAATTGTATTGAAATCCTTCAATAAAACGATCATAATTTAGTCTGTGTCAACAATATTGCCATGATATATGGATGGTTCTTTGTTCTAACAAACTACTATCAAGTATCTCCGTCCTAAAAACTGAGCGTTTTTCCGGTCCTTTTTCATGTGACGAAACTCACACTCAATCAAAGCTCAAATGKTACACTCTATTCAAACTTTTCTTGGATTAGAATAAAAAGTTACTTTGATAATATTATGGAAAACGTAACGGAAGTTTCGCCCGCGGGGATCTCTTGAAAATAGGGAAAACATCCTAATCACCACACTGTTCTAGTAAGATTTAGCGATGTTTGGAACACTTCCGCTCATTTTTTGTCATTTTGTAATTATCGTACAGCTATTTCAAATACGTTTTCCATCCTGAATAATGCAAGCTCGACAACACGAGGTTGTTTGTAGCCTATTAAAAGTCTTGTAAAGTGTATCTCTCTTACGTGATTGGTCCGAAAAGCGTGCGTACTTGGAACTATGCGGTGAACGCACGCTACCGTAATAAAAGCCCGCTCAATTTCAGTCCGTGATTTCCTTGGCTTGTTACTTCTCTGTACAGTCCAAAAACCCCAACGTGATTTTTTTTACCGATGGCACCCCGACAATTCGCCTCCCTGTTGTTACTCGAAACTCCATGAAGTCGATCGTGTCTCGGTAATTTGTATTCTTATTATTTCAAGCTCTCGGCTGTGGCTCGAGCTGAGATTACGTGCGCGGACTTCAAAATCTCAGAATTAGTTGCAAGTCAGTATCCTCCCTAACGAACTAAAAATCGTTTACGCAGACCCTCTTTCAGCTTCTTTAGACCTAATTGTTGTTCGAGGAAAACACTTGATGATATCAGTTTCGAGTTTTTTTGGAATCCTTCGCCTCTGAATAAACAGAACAGAATGACTGCTCTTAATTATGTAAGCACCAGATTTTTGACTGATCCACAATTTTCAATCACGGCAAAACATCATCTTAATTCACTTAATTGCTAATTGTCTTTATCATACTGATACATTTGCATGTAATTAAAGTGACATTATGAGAGCATATGTCAAAAATACCAATAGAAAATGCTAGTTTTGAACGCATGAAATCCAGTGTAAACTTGTTACCATGGTTTCCTGTAA